TGACCCCCAGTGTTACACAGAGGCGTGCCCTCTCTGACCCCCAGTGTTATACAGAGGCGTGCCCACTCTGACCCCCAGTGTTATACAGAGGCATGCCCGCTATGACCCCCCAGCATCTGAAGCCTGCCTGCTCCTGACTCCCAGTGTCATGGCAGAAATGTGGAGTCATCTCTATGTGGGCACTTTATCTTCCAAGACCAGCTCCCTGCAAGTTACAGCTTAGAGCACATGGAGCTACAGGACTGCTTCTAAAACCCAAAAGCTGCCCAGATCTCAGTGTCTAACAATGGGGATTGCTTCTGTTGTGCCCTGATTTTGTGGAGTATCAAAAGTTACTAAACTTTGAGGCTAGAGATGTGGCTTTCTGGTAGAATGTTTGCCTAGCACGCACAAGGCTATAGGATCCCTCCCCTGGCCCAGCATTTCCCCAAGAAGCTCCAGCACTAGGGGAAAAAAGGTACTGACTTTAAACCACCCCTGATGTGGCCAAGGAGCTTTGCACTTAGGCCTTTCCCCTAGAATCATCTGTAAAGGTGACAGATGAGGCACTGTGACCTGTGAGCATAAGTGCAGGAGGAACTGGCGGCCAGGAAGGGGCATTCACATGGGGAGGTCCTGTGGGCACCAGCCCTCTGTGTGTCACCTGACTCCAGGGGTCAGACCTGCCTGGGGGTTCATCCCACTCAGGCTACTACAGCGTTTTCCCATGAAAGCTCTTTGAACTTATCCTGGCACCTGCTTCCCATGTAACAAGTTGATACAATCCTAGTGATCTGACCTCTGCCTTACTCTGGCAAAAACTGCAGCCACCTCACCACATTCTGTCTCGTCCCTGTATTAAATCTAATGAAAGGCACACGAATTCTTCCTCCATCAATCACTCCAATTACAGGAGAACAATGACTTCAATCAGAAATTGATCTACTTAGAAGCTTGACCGGCTCATCAGCACATCAGCACATTGCAGTGTGTTAAAAGTCAACACACGGCTGAGCACGGTGGCCCATGCCTTTAATCCCAGCCCTTGGGAGGCAGAGGCAGGTGGATTTCTGTGAGTTTGAGGCCAGCCTGGTCTACATAGCGAGTTCCAGGCACAGTGAGACCCAATCTCAACCCCCTCCCCAAAAAAGGGTCCATACAGCCCTTCACACCAAGGCAGGAAAAGCTGACCTGAGCTCCATTCCTTCCCACTCAACAGCACGCCAAGCCATGGCCCAAATTTACCATGGGAATTTCTGAGCCCTTATCTAGTAAGGGAAGGTCTTCTACAAGTAAAGAGTCTTAACACAAATGTATGTGTAAAGTTAATCACTTAATTGGTTTTAGAAATGTAAATGTTCAGGGCTGGAGAGATGGCTTGGTGGTTAAGAATACTTCCTGGTCTTGCAGAGTACCCGGGTTCAATTCCCAGCACCCACAATGGCAGCTAACAACTGCCCGTAATTCCAGTTCCAGGGAATCCAACACTGTCTTCTGGCCTCTACAGGCTTTGCACGGCATAGGTGCACTTACATACATGCAGGCAATATACACATACACATAAAATAAAAATAAATAAAATATTAAAAAGAAATGTGAATTTTCACATATCAAATGACCTGAGTTTGGTGGACAGAACAACAGGTGTGGATTCAATGAACCTTTGCTTAAGCCCTAGGCTGTTCGCTCATTCTCTTCCTCTGTGGGCTGAAGACGCCCCTCTTCAGTACTGGTTTGAGAATTAAACATAACACGTGAAGAGCAGAGGTGCTGGGACTGTACTCTATACTGCCAAACAACAGACCAACTGTAACTTAGCAGAGGCAGGGGAGGTGCTCAGTGGGTAGAGTGCTTGCCGAACCAACATGAGGCCCTGAGCCCAGATCCCCAGCACCTATGTAAAAGGTCAGGTGCAAGTAGCTCACACCTGTAATCCTAGTGCTGGGGAGGGAGAGGCAGGAAGGTCTCTGTGCAATCGAGGTCAGCCTGGTCTACATAGCAAGTTCGAGGCTAGCTGGGGCTACAGGCTCACTGGCCAGTCTGCCTAGCCGAACAGAAAGCTTCAGGTTCAGTGAGACCCTGTCTTAAAAAATAAGATGGAGAGTGATTGAAGAAGATATGTTCACCTCTGGCATGGACCTATACACATGTGCACATGTACCCACACACATGCATGCCCACACACTGGTCACAATACACACTAATAAATCATTTTTAAGTAGGAACAAATGTACTATCAGCATATACTTATAGAAAGTTCCTGTCAGCAAACTGCCTGAGAAGCTCTCCCACCCAGCCAGCGGCAGGAGTGAAGACAGCCAGAGCCTGAGCTCTCTACTACTGCTCCTATGCTCACAGCTGGTGTCACTCACTACGGATCTTGCTCCATGCTCACTTCCCAAAAGGAATAGAGACACTTTCCACTGATGACGCATGGCTCCTGGGTCGCAGGGGGACGGGCCTCTGGGCACCCTACTCCCATCAGGAGCGCCCAGCCTCAGCTCTTAGCCCTAAGTGATGGGGAAATGCCTATTGCATCCTGAAGGACCCCTGTGCTGCCCTCCTCACTCCCACTGACATCTAAACCACATCCTGCTGGGTGCAGTGGCACATGCCTTTAATCCTAGTACTCAGGAGGCATAGGCAGGTAGATCTCAATGAGATCAAGGTCAGCCTGATCTACAAAGCAAGCTCTAGGCTAGCTGGACTACAGGGAGACCCTGTCTCAAAAAAAATAAAAATAAACCATGCCCTGCCTGTGTCTCTCCCTGCCTGTGTATCTCCCTGCCTCGTGTGAGGAAGATGTGGACACTAGGCACAGCACCCACCTGATCACAGATACCAGCTCTGCAGCAAGACCCAGGGCCCACTTTCCCAATCAGCCCACCTCTCCAACCCCAGAACTGAGCACAGACCCGTCAGGGGGACAAGTGCACAGTCCTGGACTTTGCCTGGCAAACAAGACTGGAGCATGGCAAACTCTAAACAAAGCAACAAAACTGTCCAAAGAGAAGCCACGAACCCAACTGCCCTAAATGTGGCGTTTTGTAAGTTAGACTTGACCCTGAAGTTTCTGGTGAAGTGGTTCTAGGATATACTGTTTGGTCACTTGCCTTGTAAGTTGGAAAAATCTATTTACAAGCCGGGCATGGTAGCACACACCTTTACTCCCAGGCAGAGGCAGAATTCTGTGAATTGAGGCCAGCCTGGTCTATATACATAGCAAGTTCCAGGCCAGGTAGGCTACAGGGAGGAAAAAAAAAAAAAAAAAAAAAAAAAAAAAAAAAATCTATTTAAGGCCCCAATGTACTTTGGTTAACCAAAGACAAAACCCCACAAAGTCTCTGAGCAAATATCACATCCTTACAGCAGTATGAACTCCTCCAGGAGAGCACTACCTAGCTCAGAGCTCACGGCAGGCAAGTCAGCAAGCAGCAGCCGGACTGTGGTCAGTCACACCTAGAGATGTGCTCTGCAAACAGTGTCAGTCACAGCTTGTCATGGGGGATTCCCGGTGTTCACAAGGCCAGAGAGGGGGTAGGAGAGGGGGAAGAAGGCAGGAGAGGCAGCCAGCGCTTTGGCCAGAGGGGGAGTGAGGGATGACAAGCAGCCAGCACTGGATCTGAAAGATTGGTCCCACCGAAGGACCTAAGCAAAGCTACAAGTCAGAGAAAGGGACAAAAGGTAGAACCAGCATCAACTTGTGAGAGGCAAATGCACCTGGCCAGTAAGCAGTGCTGATTTACAGCAGCAGTGGGACGTGATGCCATTCCAGCCCCTAAAACTGCACTAAATTTTGCTTCCCAAATGCCACCTCTTTCCCTTTTCCGGTTATTAAAGGATTTATTTTACCATGCCCCACCTACCTCAAACTGGACCAGAGACCAAGCTTACAGACTTTCAGAACCCTGATGAGTTTGAGAAGATGGCGGCCCCTTGGATTTTTGTTTAAATTCTAACCATGACAATTTGCGACATAGTCCTGCTTCCCACACCTGAGTGGGGCTCAGAGTCTGTCAGCACAGGTAGGGGTATCAGCACCCACCTCCAAGCACCAGAAGACCAGAAAGCAAACATTGAGCACTGTTGTGGTGGACACTCTTTACCTGACTTCCAAAACAGATCAATTAATTTCTGTTTGCCTCTCCAACCCTGGCACTCAGCTCTGTCCTTCCCGGGCACTGGGCCTCTAAGGGAGGGCAGCCCGGGGTAGGACAGTGACCTCCCCTCAACTCCAGCACCCCTCCCACCTTCCTTCACTCCACCGTACTGTGTTTAACCCAGTTCCCACCCATTCCTGGGGCAACTGCCAAGCCTCAGACCTCCTGTCACCACACTGTGCACACAAAGCCAGGTCCAGCCACACACAGGGCCTCCAGCAGATCCTGACTGAGGCAGTTGAACCATCCAGCTGACATCCACCTGCCGAGGCAGCCACTCCAGGGCACACACATCCAAGGCCAAGGGGAGGCTGGGAATGGGATCACAAGTAACTGCTTTTGGAAACAATGTAATCACAGAGTGCAGGGTGTGGATACTGTAGAGTTAAGAGACCAGTTCCCAAGGGGGGATGGAGTGGTGATTATCTAATAAGGGGAAGGAGGGGCAGTAAGGAGGGAAGGGGTCCAATTAGATCATGCAAGCACTCCACCCAGGACCCCTTGAAGGGACACAGCCCACCCAGTGCAGAGGCAGCAGGAAGGTACTCTCCCACACAGTTCCAACATCCAGGACCCCAGCACCCCCACCAGCACCCCATCAGCTCCCCACTTCAATCAGAGACCTTGGTTCAGCCCTGCACCAATCATTCCAGTGTGTCTCAAATCCAAGCAGCCTTCTGGTTCCCCAGGAAAAAGAACCGATGGCTTAAGTACTCTCCTAGACAAGGATTGAAAGGTAGGTAGGTCTGGAAGGCCATCTGTAAAACCCTGTCCCCGAGTCACTAAACTTCTCTCCAAGTTAACAGCACCGCGCATGGTCCCCGGTAGCTTAACCGCTCCCACGTCTCCTTTCTGGGGTACCTCGGATCAACCGCTCCCGGGTTCCGGGAGGCCCAACCGTGGACCCGCAGCTTTCCTCCCCGGGCTCTGGTTACCCGATGACCCCGAGTGAAACGTGGAAATCTGCAGTCGGCCTTTGGTCTCGACGCCAAAATCAAGGCGAGCCCTGCGCCGGCCTCCCGGGTCCCACCTGCAGCCCTCCCTCCGGGCTGGAGCGAGCCGAAAGCAGGCGGAGGGCGCTCCGGTCGGATAAGCGGGGAGCGGCGCAAAGTCCCGCAGGATGAGGCCGCACGGGGGTCGGACTCGAAAGGGATCCCCTTCCCGGGCCGCCTGGACCGCACTGGCCGCGCCGGGCAGGCCGCGATGTAGCCGGGGCTGGACCGGACTGGACCCGACCGGACGGGGGTCCGGGAGGCCGCGCGCCCTGCAGAGCGCAGCCCGTCCCTGCGGAGGG